AGTATCTAGGATACTAACTGCGGGATATCCTTCACATATATTAACTTCAGTCGCCGAAAGTCTCCTTAAACAGATTAAAAAAGGTCAAATCACATCCCGCAAGCCACGCGAAAGATTCAGTAACCAGAGACCGGTAGTCATACCCTACATTCATAACATTTATCATAACCTGAAGAAGATTGGGAATCGCGCAAATATCGATGTAGTCTTTTCCGCCCCCATCAAACTATCAGGCCTATGTAAAAAAGTTAACGCCACACCAAAAACTAATACCGTCTGCACTAAAAAGCATAAAACCCCATACATACCTTGCTCAGAAGGAGTGATTTATTCCTTTCCCCTATCATGCGGCAAACAGTACATAGGACAAACTGGAAGATGTATTAATGACAGATCAAGGGAACACAACAACAACACCCGATTAGCAAACTCAGGACTTTTGGGCATTCACTGCCGTGACTGTGGGTACGCCGCGGACTTCAAAAATAGCACCATAATCGGAAAGAACCATCATCAGTTAACACGTGAGATAATAGAGGCAGCTAACATCATAAAAAGGAGTGACACTTGTGTTAGTAGTCCATCCATAACGCTTACGGAAAAAGAATTGTTGTATCTTGACTCTCGAAGGTAATGTGAGATAGACATTGCTAATTGTTCTATACAGAAGAGAACGAAGTGAGATGACAAATTTCATACGGGTAAAAGAAAAACGAAAGAAGACGAAAATACAATTTGAGTTGAAAGTCAGCGCGACGTGAGTGACCGTTTTTCTGGTGTGAGTGTGAGGGTGAGTGAGTCTACTTTAGCGCTTCTCCTACAACATGAATATCCAACTCGGCCAAGCATCCATTCTAAGTAGCACCAGCAACACGCCCATGAGACACCCCGACTCCTGGATTGAATGACGACCCGCCTCAGGTCTTGGAAGGTGATCCGAAATACTCCTTTAGGCCAGATGTACCTGGCGGGGCAGGGGCTAGAAGTAGAAATTAACAAATTTATCTGAAGTGATACATTCCTATAGCATAAGCTCTAGGAACGCAGGATTTTTTAGGTCAATGATGTATTTTAATTGAACACAGAAATTGTTGGTTTATATGGCGAACCAGCAGCCCCCGTTTTGCATAAGTTATGTCCGACGGAACCCGAAATAAAAATTGCAATTATGCCCACTTTACGTCAAGCATTCGAGTTACGTCCGACGTAACCCAAAATAAAAAGTAAAGTTACCGCATTTACTCGAGAATAGGTCGGCCACGAAAATAGTCGACCCCTAATTACTAAACCCACCAAAGGAGAAAAAAAAATCCAAATATAGGTCGACCCTTTTTTTAAGAACAGGGGAAAGTTAGGGCAAAACAAAGAAACAAACCTTTTTTACAGCACTCTCAGCTAAATCACGGGGTAATGCCCAAAACTTAATCACCGTCAGAACTTCTGAACATATCATTGTCCTCTAAAGCTTCGTCAGCTTGGTAGACATCCTCGCAAATTGGCAACAATACCTCACTGACACCGTTGTAAAATGACTACGAGAATAAACGGAAGAAGGTGGAGACGGGCGAAGCGACGGAAGACGAAATACAAAGACGCAAGCAACGCCGCGAGCCGATTCGCCATGTGCAACACCCGAGCATAGCCGCCTCAAGCAACAAACAAAAATAAAGTCAGTTTTTAGAGCGCAGCTCTTATGGTGAATTCCGCTCGCAGATCTCGAGCGCTCCAAAAGCGCTCCATTTGGAGCGCGCATATTCCGCTCGCAGATCTGGCTCAAGTTGGTCATCTTCCGCTCGTAGATCTCTGGCAGCGCCCGCTCCACGGAGCGCCCCAAACTCCGCCGAACTTGCTCTGCGGGATTTCACAGATCTCTCATAGAGTAATATAGTAAAACGTAAAGAGTGGCCACTCCCATAGACCCCAGCGGCCCACTCGACTACCAGCACTCCCAGCGGCCGCCGTGAAATTTTTCTCGACTTCCTGTTTGGATGCTTTCGGTTTCGTTTTTTAACATGAATAGAGTCACAAAATACTAGTAGTCAAATGAATGGATAACTATTAGTGCTTCCAACTGTATTGTGCGGTAGCTTGCGCCACCTAGGCTGTCGTGACTAACTACAATTTTAAGGACAGAACGAGCGGCGCGGGTTGGTAAGAGATAACTAAACTTGAGGAAGAAAACGAGAAGGACGGACACCTTACAAACTTCCAACTATGGTTGTCCGTCCTTCTCGTTTTCTTCCTCAAGTTTAATTACAATTTTAAATTTGGTTACGGTTGGTAAATTAGAATTTACTTGGGCGTTTGATCTGTGTATTCAACAACTCGAAAGCACGCTTAAATTCATTTGCAATTTCAGGACAGACAGGTAATGAGGTAACCATGTACAATCCCAATATAAAATATAAAACTATGTCACGGAACGGGAAAAAAGGGACAACCAACAGAAGGCAGCAATTAACAAATATTAAAAATTTTATTTTGGCCACGAAGATAACCATAAAAAATAGTCACTTTACATAAAAAACAGAAACAAAAGACCGTGAAAATTATTTTTGCACTTAATTGTTTCAGGACGTGTTACAAAGAAGATTTGTCAGAAAAACCTCATCAGCCTTTTTGCACAGGTTTGAGGGAGGAAACATCTAAAAGTTCACAACTGACACCAAAACCGGGTGACCCAATACGAAGATCCATACCAATAACGAAACATTGAACACGAACACACTAGAAAAAAACACATCAAGTGGTTCTGCAGTCGCTAGTAAAGACTGGTCGACTGCTGGCCTGCAACCTGGTCATTACAAATTATACCTGGAACTGCTCGGCGTGCAGTGTGCACCGTTCTGTTAAGTACCGTCTTTTCCGGACTATAGTCCATACACAGGGTAGTGGTATAGTCTTCAGAGTCCACACAAATTTGTTTGCGTACCCACACAAACCAATTCCCCTAAGTAGATCGCTGTGTAAAATGCCTGCCTTGTTAGTGCACAAAAACTTCTAGTATCAATTATTAAGGCACAAAAAGACTTAGCATAACAAATCATTATTTAACAATCCGTTATCCACAAATTCCGTCGCATCTATCATAAGGAACAATCTTGTAAAAACAAATCCTGGTATATTCCACACCTACAGATTGTCCCCACAACATAAAATTACAATTCAAAACATGACTAGCCCGCGGCCCTTGTCCAAACAATATGACTCTTCTTGCCTATGTACAAGCTGGACATCAAACTAAAGCAGCAATCGTGAACAAGACCAGGAAAGGCTCAATGACATCCAAGTTGCGTGACCAATGGACAGGACTATGCATAATAGAAAAATGACAACTCTCCCATTCAACATGGCCATACATAAAAATACAAGGACAATGTATTTTGAAATTAGACATACACTAATGTAGCCAGGTGGCCTGCGACCGAGCCTTAAAAAAGTAATACCAAAAATGCTTGACACTCGGTTCGCACTGCACAAATAAAGCTTTCTTCGCACCTGTAACACATATGTAATAAAATGCAAAACTAATGCTAAACGCATGTTTAAATTTATACTACCCTTGGAACTTCACCAGTTGTGCCTCAGAGACGCAAGTTTGGAGCCTAACTCTGTCTAAATTCCGGTTAATAAAGCGTATATGCCAGCAGAGACGTACTCTGCAAAACATCTTTAAAAACTTCGTATGGCACTCCTTAGTGCAAAACATAAAACTGCCAACGTCCACGAGTTTGGCACCACAGACGTTACGAAGATGCGCCACTCTTTCAATGACAGAAAGGAAGTGTAACTCAAGCTGCTGGATATATCTGAAGGCAGCTTCTGAGGGCACGGTTAGGTTTCCAAAAAGCTTCCCCGGGATGTGGTACGCTTTAAGCATTGTAAAATACTGATGAGGATGGTACAGGGTGTCATGCTCATTGTTCAACAATTCCGAACATGAACAACCAGGCGCAGTGTTCTCAGCAAAAAGTTTTATCAAAAGTCCCGCGACATAGTATGTTGCAGATTCATCAATGATGTGCGAGTCGTCATGTGCCGCCAGTTCCGCAATGTTGTCTAGCGGAGGAAAGTTGTCAGGCGGGACACATTCAACAATGTCTGCAAGCGATTCACTTTGAAGCGAAAATGGCGACAACTCCTGAAGGAGCCCAGACCCGTCGTCTTCGACATTACCCTTTTCTGAAAGCTTGAAAAGCTTCTGAATCCATATGTGCTTCAGCCCAGAAGTGAACTGAGACACATTGGGATTTGTATTGCAGCCTTGCTTCTGCCTAATACGCCCAAACATGTTTTCAAGCGGATCTTGCTGAAGACGCCGGGTCAGCAGAAACTGGAAGTCGTAGTTATGAGAAACATCTTCCCAGAGCAGCAGAATGGCTTTAATAGTGACTTGCCAGCCTATGATGGTTTGTGGCTGGCGTCTCCCCTCAAACCTCCACGCTGCAATCCAAGGAAGCTGCTTCTCAAGGAACTCACTCAGAAGTTCCCTTCCGAATTCCATGTCGCAACTTTTGCTCTGTTTTTTTGCACCTCGAACTGTTTAAACAGTCAAAAAGCTTGTCCATCCGATCGCAAAAGTATGCCGTAGACATGGCTGCCTCTGGAAGTTCTTTTGCGTACACAAGAGACAGCAGTGCGACGCATACCGAGGCGCTCAGAACCTGTGTGGCCCGTTTGACTTTCATGTTATTGAAAGGCTTTTGGTAAATGTGCCGGTCAGTCAGCTTTGGTGCCAATCGCAGCCGCATCTCATGTGTTGAATGATATAACTGTACTATGTACGTCCAATCCACAACTTCATTTTCGATGTGAAGCCTGTGCGCTTGCACATTGTTGCGAGTTGTTTTTATCAGGTGTGGAACGTCGAAAATGAAGTAGACACGTTCATTTTTTACGGTAAAATATGGCTGACTGACCGACACACCCAACTGATTTGCCAAACTGACGTTGGAGGCCCCTTGGTCGCATATGACAGCCTTTACAGTAATTTTGATGTCCTTTAGCTGTTCGATCAGGGATGTCAGCAAGTTACGAAGTACGGTCGATGGCGTCGATGTATGACCAATAGTGTAGGCGACAGGCTGAACCCACCTCTTAGAAATACCAGAGAGTAGGACAACCAAGGCTCGGTCTGCGATTGTGGAAGTGCGTTCGATGCCATCGTCCGTAAATCCTTGAACGACATCCTGAGTGACATCATAGGCCAAGTTCTTTTTTAGGACCATCTCGTCAAAGACGAGGCTACAGACTCGGTCCCGTTCATTCCACGACTGCGTCTTGGTCGAGATAGACGACATTACGCCTGGAATAATTCCGGGTGTCATTTTGATATTACATAGCCACCTTCTCAAGGAGCGCCGAGATGGCAGAGTGAAATGTGTGGACAAAAATCGGTACGCTTGCGGCCCACAGAAGTTTAGGTGCAAGGCAAACTTTTTTAGCCACAGCGGAAATCTTTTTCCCCTGCCCTTCGACCTCAGTTTCACATGACTTGACACCAGCTGGAATACCTCCTCAGTGACATGAGGGCGAATCATGGCGAGGGCTTCTGTAGCTGTCTGAGGCGGCTTCTGCTCTTGCTTCCGCAGTCTTGTGATGGCCTTCCTGTAGCGCGAGACCTTGGCTTGAAGACGCTTTATGACGTCCTTAGGTCTCACTGCTGACTTGCGGAAACTGGGCGTGGAGGCGCGTGAAATAGCTGGAACCAAGAAACACAATATTAGTCAGCTGAGAAACAATATATGTGGCCATAGAGTTGAGCTTGTCCACTCAACTCTGCATTATATATATATAATGTGAAAAATCAACACCACCTTATATTTATGAATATTAAACTTTTAGGTCATTAATGCCTGTTAACTAAAGATATCCAGAAGTAATACCAACTTTCCATTTGCACCGAAGAATCTTACTGATAAAAAGCATAGAGGCATCCACATAAGCAAAGAAAATTAGACACTTACAAGCCTCGGCTGATTCAGAGCTGGCAGAGAAGAATGGTGTCACTGGGCTGAGGTCTGAAGGCGTGCCGTACGAGGAACTGGCCTGCACGAGATCTGCAAGAAGTTGGTTATCAGAAACAATTTGTTGCTTCAAACAGAGTTGCTTCCTCACCGTGAGCTTCCCTGGACAGGGTGACCGGCTGGCTGTCCGAAGGCGTGCCATGCGAGGTGCTGGCCTCCGCGAGATCTGCAAGAAGTTGGTTATCAGAAACAAGTTGTTGCTTCAAACAGAGTCGCTTCCTCACCGTGAACTGCCCTGGACAGGGTGACCGGTTGGCTGTCCGAAGGCGTGCCATGCGAAATGCTGGCCTCCGCGAGATCTGCAAGAAGTTGTTTATCAGAAACAAGTTGTTGCTTCAAACAGAGTTGCTTCCTCACCGTGAGCTGCCCTGGACAGGGTGACCGGCTGGCTGTCCGAAGGTTGCCGTGCGAGGTGCTGGCCTCCGCGAGATCTGCAAGAAGTTGGTTATCACAAACAAGTTGTTGCTTCAAACAGAGTCGCTTTCTCACCGTGAGCTGCCCTGGACAGGGTGACCGGCTGGCTGTCCGAAGGCGTGCCATGCGAGGTGCTGGCCTCCGCGAGATCTGCAAGAATTTGGTTATCAGAAACAAGTTGTTGCTTCAAACAGAGTCGCTTCCTCACCGTGAGCTGCCCTGGACAGGGTGACCGGCTGGCTGTCCGAAGGCGTGCCATGCGAGGTGCTGGCCTCCGCGAGATCTGCAAGAAGTTGGTTATCAGAAACAAGTTGTTGCTTCAAACAGAGTCGCTTCCTCACCGTGAACTGCCCTGGACAGGGTGACCGGCTGGCTGTCCGAAGGCCTGCCATGCGAGGTGCTGGCCTCCGCGAGATCTGCAAGAAGTTGGTTATTACAAACAAGTTGTTGCTTCAAACAGAGTCAATTCCTCACCATGAGCTGCCCTAGACAGGGTGACCGGCTGGCTGTCCGAAGGCCTGCCATGCGAGGTGCTGGCCTCCGCGAGATCTGCAAGAAGTTGGTTATCACAAACAAGTTGTTGCTTCAAACAGAGTCGCTTCCTCACCGTGAGCTGCCCTGGACAGGGTGACCGGCTGGCTGTCCGAAGGCCTGCCATGCGAGGTGCTGGCCTCCGCGAGATCTGCAAGAAGTTGGTTATCACAAACAAGTTGTTGCTTCAAACAGAGTCGCTTCCTCACCGTGAGCTGCCCTGGACAGGGTGACCGGCTGGCTGTCCGAAGGCGTGCCGTGCGAGGTGCTGGCCTCCGCGAGATCTGCAAGAAGTTGGTTATTACAAACAAGTTGTTGCTTCAAACAGAGTCAATTCCTCACCATGAGCTGCCCTGGACAGGGTGACCGGCTGGCTGTCCGAAGGCCTGCCATGCGAGGTGCTGGCCTCCGCGAGATCTGCAAGAAGTTGGTTATCAGAAACAAGTTGTTGCTTCAAACAGAGTCGCTTCCTCACCGTGAGCTGCCCTGGACAGGGTGACCGGCTGGCTGTCCGAAGGCCTGCCATGCGAGGTGCTGGCCTCCGCGAGATCTGCAAGAAGTTGGTTATCACAAACAAGTTGTTGCTTCAAACAGAGTCGCTTCCTCACCGTGAGCTGCCCTGGACAGGGTGACCGGCTGGCTGTCCGAAGGCGTGCCGTGCGAGGTGCTGGCCTCCGCGAGATCTGCAAGAAGTTGGTTATTACAAACAAGTTGTTGCTTCAAACAGAGTCAATTCCTCACCATGAGCTGCCCTGGACAGGGTGACCGGCTGGCTGTCCGAAGGCCTGCCATGCGAGGTGCTGGCCTCCGCGAGATCTGCAAGAAGTTGGTTATCACAAACAAGTTGTTGCTTCAAACAGAGTCGCTTCCTCACCGTGAGCTGCCCTGGACAGGGTGACCGGCTGGCTGTCCGAAGGCCTGCCATGCGAGGTGCTGGCCTCCGCGAGATCTGCAAGAAGTTGGTTATCACAAACAAGTTGTTGCTTCAAACAGAGTCGCTTCCTCACCGTGAGCTGCCCTGGACAGGGTGACCGGCTGGCTGTCCGAAGGCGTGCCGTGCGAGGTGCTGGCCTCCGCGAGATCTGCAAGAAGTTGGTTATCACAAACAAGTTGTTGCTTCAAACAGAGTCGCTTCCTCACCGTGAGCTGCCCTGGACAGGGTGACCGGCTGGCTGTCCGAAGGCCTGCCATGCGAGGTGCTGGCCTCCGCGAGATCTGCAAGAAGTTGGTTATCACAAACAAGTTGTTGCTTCAAACAGAGTCGCTTCCTCACCGTGAGCTGCCCTGGACAGGGTGACCGGCTGGCTGTCCGAAGGCGTGCCGTGCGAGGTGCTGGCCTCCGCGAGATCTGCAAGAAGTTGGTTATCACAAACAAGTTGTTGCTTCAAACAGAGTCGCTTCCTCACCGTGAGCTGCCCTGGACAGGGTGACCGGCTGGCTGTCCGAAGGCGTGCCATGCGAGGTGCTGGCCTCCGCGAGATCTGCAAGAAGTAGGTTATCAGAAACAAGTTGTTGCTTCAAACAGAGTCGCTTCCTCACCGTGAACTGCCCTGGACAGGGTGACCGGCTGGCTGTCCGAAGGCCTGCCATGCGGGGTGCTGGCCTCCGCGAGATCTGCAAGAAGTTGTTTATCAGAAACAAGTTGTTGCTAAAACAGAGTCGCTTCCTCACCGTGAGCTGCCCTGGACAGGGTGACCGGCTGGCTGTCCGAAGGCGTGCCGTGCGAGGTGCTGGCCTCCGCGAGATCTGCAAGAAGTTGGTTATTACAAACAAGTTGTTGCTTCAAACAGAGTCAATTCCTCACCATGAGCTGCCCTGGACAGGGTGACCGGCTGGCTGTCCGAAGGCGTGCCGTGCGAGGTGCTGGCCTCCACGAAGTCTGCAAAAATTTGGCTATTAGAAACAAGATAAAGTCACCTGCAATTAACAAAATGTTGGATACGAAAGCAGCAGTGTTGGGGGTGTAACACAGCAGTCAACACGTTCTGGACATTGAAACAAAAAACAAAACATTCCTAGATTATGGGAATGTTTGGAGCTAGGGAAGCTCCAAAACCAATGATAATGAGACCAAGTGAACACACGATATTGTGATGCAGATGCGCAAACATGACACGATCGCCTAAACGTGACCATACCACTGATGCTAGATAGAAGTAAGAGTAACGTCAGAGCTTACGAAGCAGTAAAAGTAGAGTTACATGTAAGCCAAGTTTTTCTACTTATATATTTTGCATACATCGGGAAGTGAATAAAGCATTACCACGACATATCACAGACTGCCAGTGTTCCTGTGGACGAACACTGGGCACTGCTGTTTTTGTGAGCCTCGTTCGTCCAGGGTCCATGAAGTCGTGTACAGTGAAGTGGTCGCTGCACACGTAGTAGCTCGCGTATAGGCGCGCCGCCGGTTTGTCCATGAGGTCATGTCTCTTGGCGTACTCGACCCACGCCTTAGACCTGTGACATGTGGTACAGGTATATGAATGCCTGAAGATGACTTGGACATTAAAGTGCCAGAGGCGGTTAATACATAGGCCATCGCTGTTTAACTGGAATGCCTCTGTCCCTTCATCACATATATATAATTTTATTTGTTCCTTCGAAGTTATAGGATGTCACAAAAAGAACAGCAGAAATTTTCAATGAAAACTATTTTTTTCATGATATATTCAGTGAAGTGTTACGTCTGTGCTGATGTGAAGGCAGGGAACGCGTCAGAACAGCACACGACAAAACAGCACGCGACAAAACAGCACGGTCAAAACAGCACGCGTCAAAACAGCACAGCGTCAAAACAGCACGGCGACAAAACAGCAGGCGTCAAAATAGCACGCGACAAAACAGCACAGCGTCAAAATGGCAAAGCGACAGAAGAGCACATGCCAAAACAGCACGGCGTCAAGACAGCACAGCGACAAAACAGCACGTATGTAGCAACTTCGAGCGCATTCTTCACCTCCCTCTGCGCGAATATTTTCGAACCTCCTTAACCCTTTCGTTTATTGTCGCTAGGTTATAAAGGAATTTATTGCCTATTTCATTGCTAAGTCAGTGTCCCGACTGGTGCTGCTGTGGGATTGCTAAAAACAAACGAAGTTACTAGTAGTTACTACTACTTAACTGCGCTGATCTTTGAAGAGATTGGGTAGTTAGAGGTGATATCTTCGCCTCGATGTCGGTCGTGTTCTCAGATTTTTTTTTTTTTAGGCTTAGCGAAAGAGAAAAAGTTATTGGGAAAAAGAAATCCATAAGTTCAAGCTATGAACCGTCTGGTTTTCGGCGGTCCGGTAAGGGTACTCGTCGTTTCGTAATTACCACCTAAGTGTAAAACGTCCCCCCAAAAAAGCGGGAGATGCGTTGATTACAGATGCATTGATAGAACCGGGAAGATAAGGCAACTTAATGTCGAGCGAATTCACGGATTCTGTGGGGTTCATTCGTCGTGAACAAAATTTCCGGAAACACGCAGCTGCAGCTAGCAGGCGAGAAGTTGTTTTGAGTTAAATTCACAGATTATTGCCGACGAAGGCCTCGATCGAGTGGAAACCGGGGAAGCAGAAACGTGCCATAGACTTATTGCTGTTGCCGCACAGCATGGGCTAACGCTAAGCACACCGTTGCCGCACACACTTCTTTTTTTTTTTTACAACTAACAACAACATGTTGCCACGTGATTGATTCATTTATTGTAGACGACATCACCAGCAAACTTGCGCGTCAACGTTAGCAGAACTGCTCGAGAAATAGCCATAATACGCACCAGCGGGGGCTTCGGTACTGCCCACGGAGCCTTCATGTGCGCATCGAGTATACTCCCCACTCCCAACTTGCTCCCATGAGAACGGATTCGACATATTGGCCGTCGACGAGTTGACCTTGGAGGAATTGGCCTAGAGCCTCCACTCCTTAACAGTGCCTACTTTGAGACGTGCATTTTTTTTAACTCCATACGCTCTATTTAGGTTTCAGCGTTTTCGGCTTAAACTGATAAAACCGGTAAAAGTACGACGAAATATTTTTTTACACATTCGGTTCGAACTGAAAAAGGTCAGTATTTTCGAAGGCGTTTGGATGGGGGGTGGAGAAATGTGCCTCATTACTGAGCGTATGACCACTTCCTTTCGCAGTTTTCAGCTTATGTCCAAGATCGGTTCAAATTTCAACAAAAGTTAAACCGACGCAATGGTCTTCAGGACGAAATCTGGGTTTTTCACCTGATAGGGATTTGTGTGCCGAATTCTTTGTTCAAAGAAGAGAGTTTAATCGTGGACTGTACAATGAAATTAAAGGGCATCCGTAAATGCCGCACATTTTTTAACACCCCTAGCTTCCGTTTACTAGAGGAGGGCATAAATACGCTTGCATTATTGTCGTTTCTTGGTCTGCGCGAATTAACCACCTCTCGCAGTCGTGAAAATGGGGGAACAACGCGCTGAGTACAGTGTTTGGAAATTTTTGGATTTTGATATTTGCCTCTCCGACCGAAGTGTTAGTAAAGCTCGTGTTCGTCCTGCGTACAAATACGAGCCCATGACGATGATGTCAGATCACGATAGAGCTCCATAGCGTCTTGCAGAACAGGTCGCGTCGGCTGCCACAGACATCAACAAATAAGAAATCCAGTACCTGGTTTACTTACTATTCATTTTAAACAAACGCCTTTAAATATTGCATTTTCGTCGGTATACTGGTTTTCGTCAATAAACCGAAAAGAACTGAAAAGTTTATGTGTCTACAAATATTCTCAGCAATTAACCGAAAACTTCTGCTTGTAATAAAAACCGAAAAATGTACGCCCAGTTTCAAAATAATAAAAACCGAATACGCCAAACCCTAGCTGTATTGTCAATGTCCTATTTTGACGCTATGCTGTTCTGACGCTATGCTGTTTTACCACCGTGCTGTTTTGGCACGTGCTCTCCTGTCGCTTTGCCGTTTTGACGCTGTGCTGTTTTTTCGCGTGCTATTTTGACGCGTGCTGTTTTGTCGTCGTGCTGTTTTGACGCTGTGCTGTTTTGACGCGTGCTGTTTTGACCGTGCTGTTTTGTCGCGTGCTGTTTTGTCGTGTGCTGTTCTGTCATGGTGCCTGAGTAGTGTCCTATACATTATTTTCTCATAAGTACAGGCTATGTGCGAGATTACGAAGTACAGTTTTAAGAAAAATGAAATACATAACAATTCCACGGCTGGTAAGTGACTGTGTTACTTAACCACCTTAGTGTAGTTTGAGCAAAACTTGGTACTGTGAGTACTCCAGAGTTCTGGTCCTTCGTCTCGCCTGCACTGTTTTCATTCATCCCTATGCAAAAGAACTCGCCCAAGTTTTTCCCTTACTTACTACAGCTTTGAAACTAGTTTTGAAGAAACAAACGTTCCGTTCTTTCGCTTTGACAGCTGAACAGTCATCCAGTAAGTTTTTAGAACAAAGACAGACGAAAACCATGGCTACCTGCTGTCCCGTAGAACCCGGAAAAACTTTGTTCCCGGTTTCTTGCACGCTCTTCCGTTGTTACCGCACCACGCTACGCAGCAGTAGCTACCGTAGCTGGGCATTTCGACGGCGTGCGCTGCAGAAGAAAAGTTACAGAATTGGCGCCGTGAGATTCTGATTTGCCTGCGAAAAGGGAGCTGGTCATGACACAATAAACTGTACTAATATACAAAACACAAGGTCAAGTTCGTACTGTATAAATCACGAGGTAACCACGGTGCACGAACAGCGCCCTTAAATAAAAAGATGAATTACATGTTAATATACACCAACTCGGACGACGTGAAACCAATGCTTCGGCGCCTCATGATACTATGGTTCACTATGGTGCTCCAGCATGCTCCAGCGCGCAGGGTGCACCAATTACGCTGATAATCGAATGCCTTGCTCACCTGTGATTTCATTTCCCCGAGCTGGCTGTTCTCGACCAGATCAAATTAAAAGCACGGTGCTGCGGTATGTACTTTCAACATTAATAAGGACAAAACCTCACGCAAAGAACGAAAAACCCGTGCGAGTAGGATGAAGAAACCACACCACATTGAGCAAAGCGTCTCAGGACCTCTCTTTGGCGTCACCGACTCTCGGCCCCCGCAGAAGCTGTGTGCACAGCTCCATTTCACCGTAAGTGCCAAAAAAGAAAAAAACTACGAGAGACAGCTCGACGCTTTAAATGAGCATGTAATGCACGCGCGTTTGAGAAGTGAAAGCTGGAATCAGCGCCGCTGAAGACAACGCGCACGTGTTTGCAGCGTCAGACGCTTCTGCGTTTGCCCTGCCGCATTTCACGCTATGAAACCTGATGGAACAGAGAAAAGCGGCGAGCCCGAAAGACGCTCACGCCCAACAGACCCGTGAAACACTCGTCATGTGGTTGCGTAATAGTGTTTTGAAATGGCTCACCTTTTCCACGAAGTGAACACCGAGAAATCGTTGACGACAGGAACAGCAGGCAGACCGCCCGAGCCGCCGAGCCCAACACCCAGGGAGCCTGGGCAGGCTGCTGTTATGGCGGCGTTTTGCCCAAGCGGAAGTCGCAATCATTGGGATATTCTTCTCTGACCTTCGAAGCTACTAACAATTTTAAAAGCTTCTAAATTAAGATAGAACAATTTGTGAACGGTGCAAATATAACAAATGTGTAAATAAATAGGCACTATGGCGCCAGCTGGCGGCTGCCGTGAAACCTACTTTCTGGGTCGCGATAGGGTCCGAGTGGCCACTTTTTACGTTCTACTATATTACTCTATGGATCTCTCCGGAAATTGACAGAGCGGCCCACGTGATTTCCGTCTAAATCGGCGGTGCGCACGCGCGGTGAGGTTGGAGAGATCGGCGGGCCGGTCGGGCCACGGTCGGGTCGTGGAGTTGGATCTGTTCGGGTGCGTCGGTTGTTTACTCTGGACTGTGACGGCTCGAACGCTTCTACCTCACGTAGATCAGGGATAAAAAGCTGGGAATGTGGAGCGTGGCAAATCGTAAGCGCTGACATCTGTGATCACCGAGGAAGAACGAAAAAAAGAACGACAGAAAAGCCGGAGGCAGACGCAAGGTTAGGCCTATTCATTCTGCAGCCAGTGATTGTTTACCTTTTTACACTGCATTCCATCGGCGTTTTCCCGTGAAATAAAGCAAGAAGTGGTTAGGCAACGACCGCGCAAGTGATGGTTTGTTACCTCTGTGTTTATTAAAGTCGTACTAGCAATCTGAACTCCACCGCAGGCAATCGCTGTCCGTGCCCCGCCGCTTCGAGGCGGCCGAAAGGTATGTGACGGTGCCGAACGCGGACGTCTTCGCTATTTGTGACATGGGCGCCGTGGTACGTATAATTCGGCCCGGCCTGTGTCACGTGTTACTTCTGCAGCTAAGCAGTGACAGTCGTCACTGGTCGTCGGAAAGATCAGCCGGCTGAGGCGTTGGTGGGCTGGTCAAGTTCGAGCAGCGGCCATTTTGAACGGCGGAAGGAGAAGGGTTGGGGAGGGGTGTGGGGGAGGTCGCTCCAAAAATGCAAGTTTATCTTCCCCTCGTCGATACGGAGCGGGTCCCACGGAGCGGAATTTTGCCTCCCTCGCGGATTTTGGAAAGCGCTCCAGATCTACGAGTGGAATTCACCATTAGGCGCCCGTTTCCGGCTTGAGCGGCGTCGCCGTCGCCGTCGGCGTAACCAAGGTCACCCCAAGGTCACGTGACCCCTCCCGAGGTCATGACCCTCTCAAGGTCACCTCAAGGTCACGTGACCCCCAAGGTGATTCCCACGTGACCCCCCGAGGTCGCGTGACGCTCCCCCTCCATCCCCCACCCCCCGAGGTCAGGTGACCCCCCGGAGCATATTAAAGAATGAGGGGAGAGGGAGGAGAAAGAGGAGGAGGAGGAGGGGTCTACCCTCCCCTCAGTACCCTTCCCTCCTCCTCCTCAAGAGCTGCGCTCCAATTCGGCGTCACAGGGAAATGTAAACGGCTTTCACTTTTTTTCTTTTTTTTTAGCGCGTTTGCGAGGACGGAGGGCAAAGTGCAGGGCGGATCACGTTCCTCTCCCTCCCGTTCCCCGTTGCCCAGCGGGGGGAACGCTACAGGTGCGATGGCGAAACCCGACGCCCGAGGCCCGGGATGCGCGCGAACGGTCCGGTTACCGCGGGTGGGACGTCGGCTGCGGCTGTTTTCGTGCACCAAAAGCTTTTTGAAAAACGGGAAGCGGCGCAGCTCTACGGCAACGGCTGCTCGGTGACTCGATAGCTCCATGCACCCGGTAGGGTCGCAAAATTTGGTCGCGGATGGAGGTCGAAATTCTTGGGTCACGATTTTCAACAAAAAAAAGGTCGACTTATATTCGAATAAATACGGTAGTCAGCCGCGCGACGAGACAAACATTGTGAAAGCGATGGGTGCAAGCGACCAAGGCGATGAGCGACGTTTTCTAGAGCCTCAAAAACCGAGGGACGCAAGCAGCGACAGTGAGAAATCTTCGTCGCTCGTCGCCGGCACTCGTAGCTTCTCGCCGTCGCTCGTCTCGTTGATCGCTATATTGCTTACATGCCGTTCAGAAAGGCGCTCGAAGTGCTCACCATTGCATTGGGAGCAGCCTCGCATCCAACAGTAACCAGTCTTCTTTATTTATTTTTTTATTTTTAAGTAGCCTCATGTATACGTTAACATCGTGCAGACATCGTTTTCAAGCATGGCTCCTCGTTCATCGGCTCGATTTTCATTTTAGGTAAATGACAAACCGTGATGAAGCCCGATTATTCTAGCTCAAAATTGTCACGACCACTTGGCACGCATGCTGACACTGAAGCGCAACTAACTTAAAGGCCGGCCCGCAAGCAGAGAGAAGGAATCCGACCCTCACTTTCCTTCTCGCCACTGTGAAAGGAGGAAATCGCCTCTCGTTTCCTCCTCGCCATTTTCCGATTTTCTTTTGACAAGTTTGGAGTGGAGGAAATGAAAGGCTTCAAGGATTTGGAAAGATTATCCAGAAACCAGCCGGCACATCTGCGACAAGGAGCTGAACCAACCGAGGAGCTGTTTTGAGCGAGCTTGGCACTTGCTCTTCCCGACGAGTTGCATTGACTCTTTTTTAGCATTGGTTTGGAGGACGATTCTTGCCTGGTTGTGAGAGCAAAAATACCTTGTTCTGCTCAAAGAACAATAATCAGTCAAGAACAATCATCAGTCAAGAATTATCAGTCTTAATATAAATATCTGATTTGGCATCTTTCGTTGTTTAGGCGGATTCATGGCGACAATGGGAAGTACGAGCAGCGTTTTCTATACATCAGGGATGGCGCTCCAGAGACCAGTGGTTCTGAATCATAATGGTTCGTAAACCGGCAGAGGTGAAGGAGGATCCCATCCGTAGTGGGTCTAGCACTTTTCGGTGTAGAGCGTTTTGCTGTAGGGAATTTCGGTGCGGACGTTTTGGTGCACAGACATTTCAGTGTACGGACTTTTTGCGATAAAGACTTTTCGGTGTGGAACTTTTCGGTGCGCGGATGTTTCGGTGCACGGACATTTTGAGGAATGGACATTCGACGCTAAGGTTTGCCCTCGCCGGTATCTCTTTTCCAACGTACGCAGACACGCTTCACATCGTGTTTGCGCGTTGAGTAGATAGAGATAGTCCCCTCTATAAGGTTTTGGCTTTATTATTGGTCCTGCGTGTAAGAAAGGACCCAAACAGCAAGACGTTTGAAGTTGTTTGTGTATTCAGAACAATTTTGAATACCTTCAAATGCGCCTCCTCCGCGTAATTGCATAGCTCTGATTGTTAATAATAAAAAAACAATGTAATTATCACTTGTAACTCATTAGGGAATAAAGTAGGCGTGTGCGGGTACAAAATAAGTGTAATCAAATCAAATATTGATTTGAATCATGTAGACTAGCCGAATTTGGTGAATGCTAAATCTATTTTATTTGGTATCAATTGTTTGCTCAATCTCGTACGAAAAAAAAAACAGTGACCACAGATCATACACAGCGTGCGATCTGTGGTCAGCGTCTCCTTCCATGCCGTAATGATGTCGCCGGACGTAAAGAACTGCCTTACAATCGTGCTTATACAGGGCGATTTTTTTTTAACGACTGGACATTTTTTTTAAAAAGACGTCAGAGCTACGCAATTACGGTTTTTGCCTTATTTGTAGTCATCAAAAACACCAAATCATTCATTTTTGAAGAGATGTAGTGCACGTGAAGTGGTTCACGGCGTCCTAAGAAGCCCAATTTGGACGCGACTCGTGTTACTTTGGCTTCATGCCGTTAGGCTGTGCCACGCGGACATGGGGCCCACACAAAATCAGAACTGTATTTTCGCGCCCAAATTAGGAGGACACCGTATCAGGACGCCATATAATTGTGTACGCGCGTTACATCTTTTTAAGAATGGACGGTTTGATGGCTTGCGATTATGGCCAACAACTTTCTAAATACACGATGCCGTTCTCTTTTATAATC